GTTAACTTTATTCGCATCGGAGGAATAAATTAAGCAGGTAGAGAATATCCATTGTTCATGAATATTTCCCCCCCCCATTTCTTACATATCTCATAATTGTTTGATAATTAGTATTCAAATATTCTGCAGCTTTTCTAGCCAAATTAAAAGTATAAAAAAGAGTTGTTTTAATCTGAAGAATAAACAAATATTACTCCCCCCCCCCTTAAAAATTCTCATTCTTGTTAAAGTCTCAGGAGAATTAATTTTTCAAATTTAGGCTAATTATTTTTTATTTTCCCATACATTAGGGGATTTTCTCCAGACTTGGTTTTACTTTGGTTTGCTTTAGTTTATATAAAAGCTTTAAACCCTTATCGATAGCCAGCAGTTATAAGTAAGTAGATTATAGGGAGGCTTAATAGTATATATATATTATAGTGAGGCTTAATAGTCTACATATAAGGTTATTCCTGTTTTAGAATTAATTTACGAGATTCTTATTTAGTTAGATTCTTAATGCCAACATATTTCAATATCTTAAGACAAAATTATAATAATCCTGTAATAAAATTGCGTTATTAATATAATTATTTCCTTTATTTTTATCAGAGATAAAAGATATTTTGTATTAGTCTTTCAATCGTGAGGATAGGTCAAATGAACTTCCAATATAAATATTACCTGATTCTTTATATTCCCACTGAGAAATACCAGCTTTCTTCTTATTGTGAGTAAAATTTTGTAATTTATCAACATCGGCGTTCTCATAAACGATAAAGGGAGTGATTGTAGCAGATTAATTTACATTGACCTTTATAAAGTTACTAGTCTCTTGCATATTATTAATGTGCTTAAATTATTTATCAATGTCAATAATATTTTGTAAGATAATTGTGTTTTCATTATTATAAATATTAACCGGGAGTTTGTTAGCAGATTCGTTGTTGTTTATAAAGTTATTCTTTTTTTTTTATTAGTTGAATAATAAAAAAGATACCTCCAATTTTGTTTTAATAGTAAGCTAATAGAAAATATAATACCTATTGATAAAAATAATTTCCTCTTTAATCCTAATTTTGTCCATAAAATATCTTTTCTAAGTTTTATTTAACCCTATAGAGGGATATCAAACAAAACGGATGAACGAGGGGGGGGGGGTTTACCTTTCATGGTATTTATTGCCAGATGTCTGATTCGAACAAACATATCGATGATTACAAATCATGTATTTTACCAATTAAAATTAATCTGACATATATGAGGGCTAGTATGCATCTGAAGACTTGAACAATTATAGAGCTAATAACCTTTATATTTTAAATTTATAAAATTTTAATATTTTATTAATACTTATTTTAATAATAATTTAATATACTATTAATTTTTATTTTAATAAAAATTTAATATACTATTAATTCTTATTTTAATAAAAATTTAAATTCCGGGGACCAATGGGGGGGTTAATTTTGAATTCTGATATATTTGACCACCCCTTACCATAAATTATCCCTACTTAAATATATGTATACAAAAGATCATTTATTATAATTATCGTTAGAGTTATTTGTATACTTATAATTTATAGAAATATAATGAATGAAAGTAGAAATAAAGAATTTATAAAAAAAAAATCCTCTACATTAACGGTTTTAAGACATAAACTAATAGTAAAAATATCTGGAGGGGGGGGGGAGATTAAAAAAAAATATCATGGGAGGAGGTAATAATATTATAGAGAGGGGGGGGGATATCAGGGGGGGGGGAAATAAAATTATATATATATCTATATTTATAAAATTAATCCTATAATAATAAGCATTGGACCCTCTGATAGGGGTGTTTACAAACAAGTAAACAATAATAAAATTAACAATAATAATTTAAATTTTTAGTTTAATTTATATATAATTGATTCATGAAAATAAGGTTGAACTAATTCTTTAAATTTATTCATTGATTCATTAAAAATATAAATTCTGTAATTAACCTTAGATTTCTGAATAGTACTATCAAGATTAAAATTATCCTTTAATGTTTTAATTAACAATTCTACCTCAGTTAAAGAATAACTATCAGTACATAATGTAAAACCTGAGCCTGATTTAGTGCCCTCATCCATAGTCCAATACGTTAAACCTTTAGATATAAATAGTTCACCTATATTTAATAGAATTTTTACCCTATTTATATTAAATAACTCAAAATAATAATTAAAACAAGGTAAAGAATTAGTCTCAAAATATACCCAATTATTAATTTTACCTGTTCGAAAATAAGGTTTACGAGCACCCTATTTAAGAGGAGAACAACAATAATCTTTAAATAATTTATATAAATGGATTATATATATGCTTCATTAATTAAACCTTACCCAAATCTTAATCTAGCATTATTAACTCGTCTGTTAATATTTAAATCTTTTAATATACAACCTATAAAATTTTGATGTAAACCAGGGTAACAGAAAAATAATTTCTTTCCTTATTAGTTAATCTTTTAGTACTATAGTATCTATTAATAAAACCTGTACCTTTAACAAAACCTTTAGCAAGATCTGTCCCAATGTAGATGTTAGACTTGAACATACTTTATAAAATTATTATTTCATGTCAATTAAGTCATGAATTATATTAAACTATCTTTTAATCAATTCTTGTTATTTATATTCTTCCAGCCATATCCACTTTTCAGCATGTATAAATCCTTATCAGTAAATCCTGTATAATTCCCATCAGTAAATCCTGCAATCCTATGGGGGGGTCTGGTATTTATAAATTACAATATTTCAGGTGTTTTATAAGATTCTACCGAAAAAGTGGGTAAAAGTTTATCTGATAATCCTAAATTCATGCTAGCTTTTATCGCTACTATTTTTAAGAATCTTTCAAGTGTTAAATGTTTTTATTTACCATTTATAAGGGGATTTCTTTTAATATCCAAAAAAATCAGCTTGTTTTTTTTTTTACAATAAAAGGTATTTTTAAAAATGAGGAATAATTAGATTATAAGATCATCAAAATTTCTTACAACAAATTTAAATAAAGAATTATCTTTATAAATAGTAAGTATCCCAGTTATAATATAAAATAATCGTAATTTAAAGTTTAAACCCTTAGCTAAATATGAGGGGATTTAAAGAAAAAATCAAAAAATTTTAACAAAAAATAAAAAAAATTTGAACAAAATATGAAGAGGATTTGAACAAAATATGAAGGGATTTGAACAAATATGAAGAGGATTTGAGTAAAATATAATATGATTTGAGTTAATACTCAAAAAAGTTAAATGTTTTTAAAGAGATTAACTCTAATAGGTTCCTAAAGAAAACAGTCTTATTTAAAGTTGCCATTTAATAAATATGATTATACTCATTATTATATAAATATCCTGGACACAGCCAATTAATAAAAAAAGAAGAGCTCTAGAGAGGGGGTGTTAATTACGGCTATTATCACAATTATGCATAAAGTAATAAGAAAGCCATCATTAACGCGAATAATCCAATTGCTTCAGTTAAAGCAAAATGGACTTCAGTAAAGCACACTATTTATTTAAAGGTTTTATATAATATAAACCTCTAAACAATTCTCCGGATATTCGGAATTCGGCTAATTTAGCTCTATCTGCTTTTAAATATAAAGCTAAAGCTGACATAGACTTGAACTCTTGGATAATATTATGGTCAGAATCAGTTAAAACAACTGATTTAGCATTAGGGGATTTAGAACGCGCTAAGGCCCTTTCTCTTTGTAAAGATCTTACCTCTTCTGTATGGGTTTTCCCGTAAAAAGGATTGTCCTCACCTAAGTATTTATCCTTTTTTGAAGTACTCATCTTCAATAGACTCTCCTCGGTGTGTTTATAACCTAAAGAATTCCCAGCAGTAGGTAAGATATTCAAATCTGGTTTCATAGAATCAATGTAAAATTGTTCTCGAGCTATTGTATCTGATTGATCACAATACTCAAGTATCTCTAAACTAAAATTTGAATAACCATACTTTAATATTGAAGAATAGATTTTACTCATACCTCGATCAGGACTAGAGATATAACTATACTGGTAATACTGTTGTAGTCTTTTAGAGAGGTTAACTGAACTTCCTATATAAAATTCCTTTGTTAGGATATTTATCCATTTATAAACACCGGATTTCCCTTTATTTTCTTCTATAATTAAGACTTTATTTAAATCTGAATTAGAGTAGATTTTTACAGGGATAAAGCTTGCTAAAAATATCTCATAATTATCGGAAGCAATCGATAATAAAAACCAATTATCTATAATTAAAGCTATAAGGGGGGATTTTGTTAATATTATTATGCATATAATAATAAGAACGCCATCATTAAAGCAAATAATCCGATTGCTTCCGTAAGTGCGAAACCCAAGATTGTATAAGAGAATAATTGAGCTTTGATAGAAGGGTTTCTAGCAGTAGAGTTTACTAACGCTGCGAATACAGTTCCGATCCCAACACCTGCTCCAGCTAATCCTATTGTAGCTAATCCTGCACCTATGATTTTTGCGCTTGCTAACATTTTTATATTTTTATTATTTCATGTCAATTAAGGCATGAATTATATTAAACTATCTTTTAATCAATTCTTGTTATTTATATTCTTCCGGTCTTGGTCGGATTTATTTCCTCCCCCTACAAGCTTACGGAACTATTAAAACTTTATATCTAATAGCCTTCTTAAAATAGTCCCGGCTGCGCACCTTTTTAAAATAACCTTTGCCCAAATCACACCAGGATGGGGGGGGTGAGATTAAAAAAAATCATTTTATATAAGGGGAGGGGAAGTTTATCTGTAAGCTGATCCTTAATAATATTAAAGGTTTACGGGAGGGGGCAAAAAAAATTTTTTTTATTATATAATGAGGATTATAGCTTAATAGGTTAAGTGCGGTCTTGATAAGACCAATAGTAGTCCGTTCAAGTCCTCTAGGCCTTATTTATAAGAAAGTAAGGAAAAGGATACAAGGGTGTTTATTAACATAATTTTTATATAATGAGGACTATAGTTTAATCTGGTAAAACACTTCCTTGATACGGGAGATAGTAGAGGTTCAATTCCTCTTGGTCCTACTGAAATTAAAGCTTACAAGCTAAAAGAATTGAATTTCTACACAATCTAGTTGGGTAGTGGGGGGGGGTACTTGTTCTAATTATGAAAACCTATTCTTGTTTTATATTAATCAGTTTTTCTATATCTTCATCCATCTTATGGGATGCTCGGCCCCGAGGAAAACCAACTGAACCCCCTAAGTCTTTAAAAGATAAATAGCTCGAATCTGTTGAGATTTAAAGTTGCCTCATTAAAGAGGCCTGTCATTTTTTATAAAAAACTTTTTTGGTATCAAAGGTAATATATAATTTATACTAAGGCTAGGTCTATTTTAATACCTAAAATTCCATACCCTACTATTTTTATATAGATAGTCACCACCCCACCCCCCCCCCCACCATCGCCCTGTAAGGTGACTTTTTATCATTCTTATCCTATTGACGGTTTAAGAAGATTATAAGAATAAGGGATTATAGCTTAATTTGGTAGAGCAAATTATTGTCGATAATTGAGGTATCGGTTCGAATCCGTTTAGTCCCGATATTATATTTTGGGAGACCCTACGAGGGGGGGGGGTATTCATTAATATTTAATGAAGAATTAAAAGAATAACTGATATACTGATTTTACCCCCTATCAGTCAATATTATCTAATTAATGTTTATTTAATATAGATTTAAAAAGTTTTAATTGAGCTAATCCTTCTTCTGTAAGATGAAGTTTATTAGTAATTAAAATAAGCATTTGTTCCCAAATATTATAATTATGCAATTTAATACCTGATAATCTATATTTATCAAAGTGAGAGATAATTAATGAATTAAGATCAGATTATATTTATTATACCCAACCCCACCCCGCGTGCGGGCTTTTTACATCTTTTCTTTGTCTGCGGGCTTCGTCCCGTAGCCCGCCGGTCCACGGAGAGCAGTTTATATTTTTTTATATTAACCAGTATTAGTATTAACCAGTATAAATTAGAGAGACCATGAATTATTATTTTAATAATTTATATAAAAGTTCAATTCTTTCTTCAATTTTACAGGGTTCTGTCTTATTGGTATTTTCTATTAATCAAAGTGTAAAATATAATTTTAGACTCGACTCCGATGATTTTAAGAAATAGTGGTAAGATGCAATTTTAATCTTTTATAAAATATACAAAAGATAAATAATATAAATAAAACAAATTCAATTAATTAGCTAGACCCGTGGTTTGTTATAGGCCTGATAGATGATGAGGCCTCATTCATAATTTACATTCAAGAAAGTAAAAATTCTATTGGTTGGCAGGTAAGGGCTAAATTCGTAATAGAACTTCATTCTAAGGATTTAGAATTACTTAAATTTATTCAATCTTTTTTTGAAGGTATTGGGAATATCTATGTTCAATCTAATAGGAACGTAGCTTCTTATCGAGTTCAAAATGTTGAATCTTTAATGAATAAAATTATAGCACATTTGGATAAATATGTTTTACAATCAGCCAAAAGCCTTGATTATTCTTTATGGAAACAATGTGTGATTATAATAGCTGCTAAAAGAGCATTTAAAACAAGAAAGGTTAGAACATATAATTTCAATTAAAGGGGTCTTAATTTAGGTTTATCGGATAAGCTAAAAGCCAAATTTTCGTATGTTATCCCTATTGCTAGGCCTGACTACATAATTAACGGGGATTCTTTAGATCCTAAATGGATCTCAGGATTTGCCTGTGGCGAAGGTAGTTTTTGGGTTTCTATTAGAAATTCTGGGGCTATTTCAGCTGGATTCTCTATAGGTTTAAATAAACGAGAGTCGTCCTTATTAGAAAAAATTAAAGAATTTTTAAATATGTTCATCTTCATATTGATTCAACCAATAATGTAGATTGCTATGAAATTACAGCTATAGCCCAACTAAATGAAATTATAATCACTCATTTTAAATATTCACTATCTGGATTAAAATTTATTAATTTTAATCAATGGTGTTTAATAGTAGGATTAATTATTAATAAAAGACATCTTACTTCTGAAGGAATAAATAAAATCATTAAATTGAAATCCACATTAAATAAATATTAATGTTTGCCTTCTCGGTCCGGCCGGGGTCTCTAACTGATTTATTTCAATTACTTAAAATTATTGATGGGGGGGACATTATCAATAATTAACTTAATTCTAGCTTTAAGCTTTTAATAAATGAATATATAAAAGCTAAAAAGCTTGACACCCCCCCCCCCCGCGGTCCCCTGAACTAATTCTAGTAATTAATTTAATCTAATAAGTAAGATTTTATAATATATTTAATAGTTTATTATTTATAGTATAATTAGGATATAAATTTAGCAATAATTAGAATATAAATTTAATAACAATTAATAAGATTAAATTATATTTTATGGTATAAATTATATTCTGACCGCCCGCGGGTTTCTATCTTTCTTTAAATATAGCCCCCCGGCGACCCCGAGAGTCTTATTTTTATAAATAAATATATTTTATAAAATAAAAGGGGAGCTCCCCTTTTTTAGGGAAGCTGTAATTCTATACATTGCAGAAGTCTGAGTTTCTGTAACGGTAATATAGCCTTTAGAACCGAAAAACCCATAATTTTTATTAATAAAGGTTCCTCCCGCTTATGAAGATGAATAGCATAAGTAGCTTTAACACTATTAGTCCCTAAATAAGATATAAAAGATCCAAAGCTCATGATTAAGGTAAGGGAGGGGGTTATTAAAGATTTTAATAACACAATATCATAAACTAATCAGAATTAACTGTAAGTTTATACATCATTGATTCATGGAAATAAGGTGAAACAAGAGATCTAAATTTATCCATTAAATCTATTTTAATATAAATTCGATGTTGATCTTTTCCTTTTTTGTGATAAGAACAATTTAAATCAAAATTTTGTTTTAAAACTTTAATCAATAATTCTACCTCACTTAAAGTATAAGAATTAGTATTTAAATAAAAACAGTTTTCTTTTTACTACCATCATCCATTGTCCAATACGCTAAACCAACCGGTGTTAATAAATCACCAATATTCAATGGTATCCTTTTTATACTATTTACATAGGATAAATCCTCATAATAATTGAAGCATGGTAAAGAATAAGTAGAAAATTTAATTCTATTATAAATTTTACTTGTTCTTTTATCTGGTTTAAGACCACTATATAAAGGTCCTGTACCACAAAAATCTTTAAATAAAACATATAAATATAAAAGATATATTTCATTTATTGAACCTTGCGCAAATATTAATCTAGCATAATTTCTATTACGTTGTTTACTTATGTGTAAATCCCCTAATATACTCCCTATAAGGATATTATGTAGATCAGGAGAAACAGAAAAAAGAGTCTCTTTGAGCATTAGTTAATCTTTTAGTACTATAAGATCTGTTAAGAAAACTAGCACCCAAAAATTTTTTAGACTTGAGCATACTTATAAAATTATTATTCTATGTCAATTAAGGCATGAATTATATTAAACTATCTTTTAATCAATTCTTGTTATTTAGATTTTTTCGGTGATGACCGGATTTACCCCCCCCCCAGGGGGGGGGTCCCCTGAATATGCCTAACAATATTCAAATACAATGAAAATAAGATCTTGTATATTGTATTTATTAATTGTATTTTGTAGTAAAATCTTTGATTGAATACCTAAAATATGGTTATTAAATCGCATATCTAAATTAATCGAATAATCGATATATAATTTACTGGTTGTTTTGCAAAGAAATCTATAAATACCGGATTTCTTTTTCTTTCTTAATTTTTTTTTTAGTCTTAAATAAAATCCCCACTAAATGTAAAGAACTTATAAAGATCCCAATGGTCTTAAAAAGTTGTAGTAGTGCCATTGTTTCTTTTTTTTTTTTATTAAAAAATGTTAGCAAGCGTTATTACCAAATTTTTTTAAGTTACTATCCCCGCGTTGAAGCGCGCAGGGCACCCCAGAGCTGTCCCCCTGTGTGGTAAAAAACGAATATTATTAACCTAAATAAATTTCCGATGTAACTCGAATAAATGCAGCTGTTTTGATAACATTTAATTGAAACAAATTTTGGGGAAAAAGCACAGTTTTACCTATTAAACCTATAACTATCTCTAAAAAAATTTTTTTTTATAAAGCTAGGCTTTGCAAACCCCCCCCTTATGCCAGGGGAGTCTTCTTATGATTTAATTAGTAACTATCTATATTAATTAGCTGATTAGATATTGTAGTACTTGTTAAGATTTTTACCTTTATTTATACGTTATAATAATAAGGTACTTAAGACTTTCATGTTTTTAGCTTTTACAAAAAGATGCAAGAAAAATTCCACATAGATAGTAGACTTGATCCACATAGATCGTAGACTTAATCCACATAGATCGTAGACTTAAACCACCTCAGTTATTATAGGGATTGTAAATAACCTAATAAAATAAAATAATATAATTAATGATTAATTATTATTATATGCATATAAATAAAAATTTTTGTTTGTCCGCCTTTATTTTATAACGTTTTAAATTAAATTTTAAATCTCGCAGCGGGTTTTATAATATAACCCTATTTATGATATTATCATTATTATTATCATTATTTTAATAAACCTTTCCTATTAATAATAATTTTTTTATAAATAAAAATAGAGCTAATAGTTATATGAAATTTATGAGATTTTGTGAGGTAATCAAGTTTCATGTGTTAAACCAACCCTTTATTTTTCTACAAACCCTGTTCTCTCTACATGCCCTTATGTGGGCCCGACGAAAAGATGGTCACTAAAGGTATAGGTTCTTATCACTTTAAAGAAGATATCTACCATTTATAAAGGGATAAAATAAATAAACCCTCGTCGGCCCCTTTATTTATAAAATATAAAAAATTTGTTTAAACTTAGAAATAAATATAGTGGTAGCAACCATATCATATTTATTTAATACATGTATATATTTTTTATAATTTTCATTAAAAGAATCAAATTATTAAAGATTTACATCAACATCTTTAGTAAAAGGATAAGATATAAAGATTTTATCAATATCTTTTTTAGAAAATTTATGTTTTTTTAAAATCTGTTTAATATTATCTTTTAACATATAAATATGATTTATTAAATCATTGTTAACAATATAATTATCATATTAATTATTACTCTCATATTAATAATAATTCTCTATTAATAGTATGCTATATTAGTAATAATGCCCTATTAATAAAAATAAAGGTAATAGTTATAAAAAATTTGTTATATTTTTGCGGGGTTCTTCTAGTTTTAGTCTTATGTAAGACTAACAGTGAATGGGAGGGGGGGGGATGATATATATTGCATGGCTAAGATCATAGTGAAGAAACACTAAAAAAAAAATTGAAAAATGAGTTAGTCAAAAAGGTGATAATCTTATAATTTTTCTAAAATAATAGTAAGAAACTAAAACTAAGATAGATAAGAAATATAAAGGTGTACTACAGATTCGAAAGGAATCTTAAAAAGGCTCTCTTTTGAATAATCCAAAACTTACCTTCGGGCATCCCCCCCCCCTCCCAGTCT